CAAGGGGGGTCGGACCTTTAAGAGTAAGTTGTACGAAGTTCTGCGCATCGGATGCACATAGCACGTGAACTTCTGTCTCAAATCCCCCTTTGACACTTTTATGACCCGGATTTACGCCAAGGCTACTGACCCGCCTAGTGGTGAATCGCGTAGATAATCAGTGGCGTGGTCACGCCGACTTTCTTACGGGATGCCGCGAAAATTGCTCCAGCGAAGCGGCATAATACTCACAGCAGTAACCCGGATTCCACTTGTGGATTTCGGTTGAGCTTTGCTGGAGCTAATGTACCCGAGAAGTATAGTGGTCGATCGTGGTTCGACATTCCTTCGTCTGCAATATCTAGCCTTTGGTGAAAGGTATGCAGGGAAGGTTCTTGGTCGCTATATACATTGTTGAACTCAGGGTTCTGGATTTCAGGTACGCCGGTTGACTTGAGTCAGAAACGCCTCTGGAATTGGCCAAAAGCTTCTGGGCAAGGCCCTCATGGTTTCGCTGGATAACCGTAGTAGCAACTTATCAACGTTATCGCGTTCTGGAATGTTGGCGTAGTTGCGCCATAATATGAAGCGCGCGGAGTGTTCAGCTTTCCGGTTTGTCCTCTTCCAATCGGGCGACTGAAACGGAGACTGCTTCGGGTTTTGGCACTCTTGGGCGCTCTTCTTTATTGTTCTATCTACCGCTTGTTGTCGAGCTATCTTTAACTCTGCTGTGGTCTTGTAATCACCCCCATCTCTGGAGAGTTTTGACTGGTCCCGTTGTTCACAGTCCTGCTCCCTAGGTGGCCGGAGTAGTCTGTCGTGATATTCGTTTCCGCTTACGGGTCCAAAAACTTCTTGTTCTTCTTCAGAGAAGCGGAAAAGTGGGGATTCTTTCGTCATCTTCCCCCTGGGATGGCAGAGTGACTCCGCAGCAAACCTTTTTCCTTTGGTTTCTTGTCTTCTTTGGGATGGTTACGTAGTCAGCCCATTGTTCATCTTTCAAGTCAGATCGGGATGAACGCCAGAGGATTTCGCCTTTGTGCTGTGTGCGCAGCAAGTGCCTTTGGCGCTGTCCGTTTTTGTGGGTCGTCATTCACTCGTCTTTCATCCGCCGTATTTGGGTGACGCGTTTTGGCTCGAATCAAGTTGTAGGCACCATCCCAAAAACTGATTGACACTGCGTTTGCCCCACATCTTGCTGGTTTCGGGGGTTATGACACCATACGTCGATTAACTGCCTGGTCTTGTCCTTGAGGTGGTAGCTACGACTTGGTTGGTGATGGACGCCGCTCTGTGGTATAGCAAGTACTTCGTCCGTCACTTTGTTCGCTCCTTCTTGATCCGACGATGCGCGGCAGCCTGATTTTGTTGTTCTCCAACAGGTAAATGAAGATGCCGGGAACTTCGTCATCCTTGGCAGAGGAGTATCACTTTAGAGAAACCTCGGCCCGCA